CTTAATTCTTGGGCCCTTGATGAGCCTTTCCCATAACGGCGCGGAGCAGCTGGGGAGGGTGTATCGGGAAAGCCGCTGGAGAGGGATAACAGGCGTTACTCTCCCTGGGCCCATCCGTGGGGAGAACGTTGAGTCCCGTTAGCTGGGCTGTAGCTTGCTATCTCGGTGTCATGTAGGCTCTTCCCTCGCGATCAGAAAGCGGTGAGGGCATTTGATATTTCTAGACTCTGATAGAGTGTTGAAAAATCATGGGGTTTCCACATTATTCTTCCCTTTAAACAGATCAGCTCGTGAGAACAGCATTTACTTGATGAGGGGCCTTTTTTTCCTGTGTTCACCTATGGTGGATGGCACTGGCTTTAGAGGATCCTGGGCCTGTAAGTGCCTAAGCGTTAATGGTAAACCACATCAGATTCCATGTTTGCAGCCCTTTCTTCAAAACCATTTGGGCAAGTACATAGATCAAGTATTTTTGGTTTTGTCTCTATCTATTTCTCTGTTGTCAGGAGGTGCCAAGCGCAGCAAAAGCCAACTAACCTGGGATAAAAGGAAAATAAATACTCTAAGGCATCTGTCTTGCTAGTTTTGGTACTCAAAAATTAATACAGCTGTTAATGTTGTTTACCAACTTCAATTTCCATAGCTTCATTCTTTGTAATGCTTGTGTGTCTGATTCTGGTGTTTTTTATTTTGCGCTCAAGTTTCAAAGTGTGTTAAAATACTGTCGCTCCGCAGATAAAAATCTCAAGCTGATGTGTTTGCTGCATTTGGAAGCTGTACAGCCATCAACTTCTTAGCTGCTGGTACGGAAGAGTCTAGGATTTTTGGTAAGAGGGCACAACTTTTGTTAGTAGTTTCAGTATTAGAGCTTTATTTGAGGGATTCTGCTGCAGAATAATCTCATCTCTGACAAAAGGCAGCAGGGTGCTGGAGAACTGCCTCATAGGTTACACTGAGTCCTTGGGTGCCTGGAGTCCTGACCTGTCTGTCTTAGTAGTGAACTTTCTTTTATTCCAGGGCAGGAACATGAAACTAGACGTCAGGAGTTGTGTGCATTTAATATGTTCTTAACTGTGACAAAATGGGCTGGGGGCAAGAAAGGGGAGTAGGAAACCTCTTGTATTTAATGTGTGGGCTTGCAAAATGTTCGCATTGTTTCATGAAGTTACAAGAGACAGAGCAGGTGTAAGTCTTAATTAGTGAATGTTTTCACTTTACAGTTAATTTACATCATTCAAAATGAATGAACATCCTAAAAAGAGGAAAAGGAAGACTCTACATCCTTCTCGATATTCAGGTCAGTCTAGAGCTTATGAACTACATATCTAGTAAGTTTATTTCTTCTCACATCAGTTGCTTTATGAGAAGGGACCACATGTGCTAATGCATGGAAAATCGGTGATCGAAGGGGCGGGGTCAGCAGTCTTGTTCCAAATGTATTGAGTACCCACTCTGTGTGTTACGTTGTGAAACCACTTCCACTCAGTGCATCTCAACAGTTTTGTTCTGGACTCCCTGCAAATGGGGGAAACTTGCTCAAGATACAAAATAAAGATGATTTTACTGACACAAAAGGAGGAGGAATTTTGTAAAAGTTGGGGTGGGGGGGTCCAGAAGCGTTCAGCGCTGAACAAACTGTGTTCCTGTCACTGTCTGCAGTGGGAGCACAGTTTGGTAATGATTGTGTCTGATACTCGGAACATCAGGGTAGCAGCTGGAAGCTGTAAATCCCAGCAGTAATGGTAGTTACCAGGCCAGCACAGAATTCTCCCAACATGAGAATGTGTCTGGTGAAGAGAATTTTGGTGAACATAAAATACATAGGTAGTTATATTGATGTGTTAGTAATAACATTTACTTCTCTTTTTCTTTTAGATTCTTCAGGTGCATACAAATACATAGACAACAGTGGAATCTTTTCGGACCACTGCTATAGCGTCTGTTCCATGAAACAGCCAGATCTAAGGTTTTTTGACAACAGAGGTAAGACTGCACTTTGGGGTTCTGCAGTTTCCTCCTAAGTGTCTCATGTTCATAGAAGTAAATAGAATACCAAATAGGGAGTGGGTGACTTCTGAGCATTGTTGTGATCTGAGGTGCCTTAGACTGCTGGGAGGTTGTTTCATCATTATAACTGAAGTACAGTTTTCAGAATAGAAACGATGATAATAAGATCCTTCAGTTTTACAACATTTATAATGATGAGATTTCTTTATCTGAATATCCGATAGCTAGGTAATGTAAAGCTGATGTAAATAATCTCAAAGTTCACATGGAATTTACCAGCAATTGCACCGAACTGTATGTGTACGTAGGGAAAAGGAAATGCCTTTGTATAAAACATCCGCTGATGGATGTGAAGTTCAGCAGAACAGGTGTGAGTGTGGATTTGTATTATATTTATTTTTCTTTTCACTCTGCTAAATTAGCCAGCAAGTCTCCGGAACTCTGAAGGGAGTGTATTTTAAAATGTGATGCCCAGAAATATTTAAGAATATTTTTGAAAATTGTCTTTCGACTGTGAAGTTCCATATAAGGATTTTAGGCTTTTTCCAGTACAATCAACTGACAGTTTTTTGGTGAAATTTTAAAGACAAAGTAAAGGTTATCATAGAATGGTTTAGGTGGGAAGGGACCTTAACGATAAGCTAGTATGATGTATAAAAAGATAAATCTATGTAACTAGAATAAGTAAATAGTAAATGAGATCTGTGGTTAAATCAGAGAATCACGATGATGCTGGTACAGACAAACTGTGACAAGAAAATCCTTCTTTTACCTTTGCAGGTAGATTCCACAGTCCTGTGCAGAGCCTGGACACGGATGATGATGGCAGTCCAGTGCATGCAGGGACTTCTCAGTGGAGTGGGTCACATTCAAACGTTGTGGGGTTGCACTATACAGACCCTAAAAAGAAGGATAAAGGTAAAGGTAAATGTGTTTTTGCAGCTTTGGTGCTGGGAAGCTGGAGAGCACGGTTGCCGACATTTCGTGTAACTCAGTTCCTTCGGAGGAAGAGGTGAAGGATTTGTGGTTTGTTATTTGTGAGTTAAACATAAAGCATAGTCTGGCTGGGGAAAAATAACTGCGTTTTGCATTTGTAAGTCCCTACAGCTGAAAAGTTTAATACAGACCCAGGTGTTTGGTAGGGTGTTTTTTAATCTTTTATTATCTGTTTCCTCTTGCAGATAAAGGTAATAATGGAATGTGCAGAGACTTGTGTGATTCTCCTATATTCAGTGACAGCCCTACTGAAGAAGAGAAACCTCTAGATATTCAAACTGTAGAAATTTCTACGACAGAAGTGAATGCTGTAGAAGTTCACGATATAGAAACACAGACTGTGTCACCTGAGAAGCTAGAAGCTGAGGACCTAGAGGAGATCCCCCTGGAAACCTGTAAAATCTTTGAGAAGAACCAGGCTTTGAATATCACAGCTCAACAGAAATGGCCTTTGCTGAGGGCCAACAGCAGTGGCTTATACAAGTGTGAGCTCTGTGAGTTTAATAGCAAGTACTTTTCTGATTTGAAGCAGCACGTGATCCTGAAGCATAAGACATGTACAGACACTCACGTCTGTAAAGTTTGTAAGGAGAGCTTCCCCAGCAAAGTGCAGCTCATCGAACATGTGAAACTGCACGAGGAGGATCCGTACATCTGTAAATACTGCGATTACAAAACAGTGATATTTGAGAATCTGAGTCAGCACATCGCAGACACGCACTTCAATGACCACCTTTACTGGTGTGAGCAGTGCGATATGCAGTTCTCCTCGAGCAGCGAGCTGTACCTCCACTTCCAGGAACACAGCTGTGACGAGCAGTATCTGTGTCAGTTCTGTGAGCACGAAACCAATGACCCGGAAGATCTGCACAGCCACGTAGTGAACGAACACGCGTGTCGTCTGATCGAGTTAAGCGACAGCTATAATAACAAGGAGCGCGGACAGTACAGTCTCATAAACAAAATCAGTTTTGACAAGTGCAAAAACTTCTTTGTGTGCCAGGTGTGCGGCTTCAGGAGCAGGCTGCATACGAATGTCAACAGGCACGTAGCTATTGAGCACACCAAAATATTCCCTCATGTTTGTGATGACTGTGGGAAGGGCTTTTCAGGTATGTTGGAATATTGCAAGCATTTAAGCTCTCATTTATCTGAAGGGATTTATTTGTGTCAGTACTGTGAATATTCGACGGGACAGATTGAAGACCTAAAAACTCATTTGGATTTCAGGCATTCTGCAGATTTGCCTCATAAATGTACCGATTGTTTAATGAGGTTTGGAAATGAGAAAGATCTTTTAAGTCATCTTCAGATACATGAGACGGCGTGATTACTTTCTCTCCCTGTAAACAATTTGTGAGTATTGGAATTCCTTTCCGGTCACTGAAATGTGGTATTAAATACCATTTTAACAGCAATTGTACAATTCTAATGTTTTCACCTTTATATCAGCAAATCATGTGTAACAACTTGGCGTTGTGCATTTCCTTACCTAGGGGTTTCAGTAGGAATAATCACATTTACAGTGCGATGGATCAGACTCTGGGGGGAGGGACAGTAGGTGTAGTTGGATGTCGTGATAGCCATTCCGCTGGTCATCCCGCGCTTTCAGATCTAATACACAAGAACGCCTCTCCCCAGTTTAAAAAGGGACAAAGAGAAAGCCAAAACCTAGTTCCAGGGTTAAGTAACGCGCTGTTGAGCCCAGCTGCATATCCAGCTCCTGTTCCCCTCTGTGGCAGCAGGTCAGCGTGCTGGTGTTCAGCACAGAGCGCCAGCCTGCCAAAGATAAGGCTGTTCCAAAAATTCCCAGGCATGTACATCTGCAAATTCACATACCAGCCTGCATTTCCCACCTCATGCTCTTGATAAGCTTTTTCAAATTGTCCTGTTTTTCTCTTGGGGAACCTATCTGATCTCGTCACTCACTTGCTTAGTTGAGCATTGAATTTCAGCTCGTCTGTGGGATTACTCAACAGCCCTCTCTCCTACACATTTACTACAGGCCTCCCACATGATTTTTGTCTCTGTTACTTACCTTCAGTTCCTGACCATGCACGACAGAGACGCGCGCTGCTTGTGTGTAGACTGGGTCACGTTTTAAGGAGTAATGGAAAGGGAATTTGCGAAGTTATCCAGCTGAGAATGTAGAAAGAGTGCCATTTTCATATCCTCATTTCCAGTTTAGCTCTCACTGAAACGAAGTATGTCACCAACCTCATTTAGAGCAAGCCCCTTCATTTATAAATCTGTATTTATAATTAGCTTTCCACTGTTGGTAATTTGAAGACAGTTATTTTAGCTCTGTAAATTTTAAACTTCTCCTATATAGTTTTAACTTAATCTCTTTCAAATGATTCTGCAGATCTGTTCTGATTAGGTAGTGCTGTCCCACCACTGTAATCCTTAGAAGGGAATTTTATAGTTCATTCTGAGCTTTATTTCTGAGTGGATACTTGGGCAGATAAAAGTATGGGTGAGGCCATTTAGATTGTGCTACTTATTAGGGTGAAATTACCCATAAATTAGTAGTGGAGATGACATTTCTTTATGCATTGACTGTAAATTTGTAAAGTAAGATTGTCTAATGCAAGCTTTGTATAGATATAATTAATGTATAAACCGTTTCCTGATCAGTGAGATTTTGTGTTTTCAGCTTCAAGGCGCGTGAGGGTCTTTGCAGTTGATTTTTAAAGCTAAGGATGAAAATTGGCTGATTATAGTCAGTTTATGGAAGCTCGAACTTCCAGGTATTTCTGGGAAGTCTGCTATGAACAGCTTAGTGTATGTTTCTTTGTAGGAGGCAGGATGGTTTTTGCCATTTTGAAATGCTGATTTACTACTGAATCTTCTGCGTAGTCATTGACAAGGGCAACCTGAGGGTGTCCTGACCGTATTTTATTAGTCCGTTGTATAGGGAGTGACAGTGTCTGTGGTAGAATTGCTAATGTCCTCTTTTGAACACGTTCATGCTGGCTGGCTTAAAATCGTAGCAGCAATATAGTTGACAAAGCACTAATGGGAATTATGTTATATATGGGAAGTTAATTTTGTTCATATAGGTATAACTGCGGGGGGGGCGGGGAGGGGGGTGTGGGATCACCCGTCCTTTTAAAACCCGACTCTTGGTGACAACACGCAGGTGCCTCTCCAGGGAACAGTGAGAAGAAGTGGAAGACAGACATTTTTAAAAAACCCAAAGTAAGTAAGTGGGCTTAAGACATGTGTATGTTTGTATGGACCAGCACAGCATCCGTATGGGAAAGGCGGTCTCTCGTAAAAGCACAGTGGCCTGTCATACAGAAAACTTGCGTGTTGACTCCTGAATAAGCTCAAGTCTAACTCTGAGTTGTGTTCTTTCTGATGTCCAAACTGGGAATGAGAAGGTTATCCCACAGGCATGTTATGATGCCAAATTGTTCCTAACTGAAACGCACCCTGTGGTGTCTAATGGGGAAATGTATTCAAGTTTGTCTGAGATTGGATTTTATAAATAAGGGACTTATGTCAGTATTTTTTTTTTAATATCAGAAAGTAA